AAAGGTGTTCTAGAAATGGTTCAAGCCGCATTTTAAGCTTTGATAGTGTGTATATAGGCACAATATTATTGTTCTTACTTAAATTAATTATTAATGAACTTATCAACGGTTAAAATTGTTGAAGGTTCATTATTTTATTTTATAACTTACTAAAGGTTAATGTAAAAAAAATAAAATAATAATAACTTAATTAAATAATCGTGTATACCTACTGTAATTTTCACATACTAAATACAGGTACATTGTAATATCGTGTGTTTTAATGAAAATAAATATTTTTCTGATTAATTTTAGCGAACAAAGATGGTTCAACGTTCTCGTACAAAATAACGAAACATAGTTTCTTTCAAGTAAGTATAGTTTATCGGGTAAAAACTTTTTTTTAAGAAATAATTATTTTAGGCTTTCTTAGTTTTAAAACAAAATTTATATTATCTTTTGAAGCATTAAGCAAATAAAATTAATGCATTGTTGTTTTTTTTAAAAATGACATCACTTTAACAAGGCTTTATAAAGTTATAGTTAAAACTTTACTTGAAAGGGATTCTTTTATACATTTTTAAAAGATTTGTGTAATTTCATTGGGTTAATAAACTAAGGTAAAAATAGATTGAATAAAGTTTTTATATTTTTAATGAATATAACTTGACTTTCCGGATGTAATTATTATTATTAACTGTTTAACGAACGCGTATAATATTGCTGTGTGTCCAAAAAAAGTAACTAGGGTAACTAAATATCAAAACCGTTTTGTATAAAACTATATAAAATTACAATTACACATATGAATGTGTCCACTTGTCGTGCAATTAAGATGGATATTTGATATGGTAAAAAGCGAAGTATTTAGGTACCTACTCTATACTCAAATTGCGAAAAATGAAAGTGAGATGGCGACTTATATGCGTTGTTGTATTAATAATGCAATTATTAAAGGAACTGACGATAAAATATAACATATTGTGAATATTATAATCATCGTTTTTCAATGTTCAATAACTATATTATACTCTTTTAGTAATTTTCAAACACGCACCAATTTCTCTATGGCTATAGATTAAAATGGGAAAATGCGTCGTAGGCAGTGTTGGGAATTATCTAGATAAAATTATTTATTTAATTATCTTATCTAGATAAAAATAATTAAATCATCTAATTATCCCATCTAGATAAATGTAATGGTTATCTGGGGTGATTTATCTAGATAAATAATATAATAGTAAGAATATTTTTAAATACTGAAATAGCCAATAATATACGAGAACCGAGTAGTGATTCCAAATTCCAATATTATATTATAGTTAAAAAAAGAAATGTTTACTGAAATATTGTCAGCTTTATTTTTTAATTTTATTTTTATTCAAGTTTTACCAAAAATTAAAATTAAAATTGTATATTATTTTAGTTGAGAAATTACATTAAGGATTTATTAATTAATAAATATTACCTGATTAGTAATTACTAATAAATTACATTATTTATAATATAATTTAAAAACAAATTATCTATTTTTTATCTAGATAAAGTATGTGTATTTTTATCTTTATCTAGATAAAAAAAAAAATGTCATATTTTACCTTATCTAGATACATTTTGAATGAATTATCTGTTATCTTATCCAGATGCTTTTCCCAACACTGGTCGTAGGTCGACTTTACGATACAGTACACATCACCATCTTGAGCCTTGTCGAACATTCAAATGAAGTTTGATGGTTGAAATAAAGGCTGGCTAAAGTATCCCAATTAATTTTATTTATACGCTGTTCTGATTAAATTATAAACCATCGGAGCAAAAAACTTACAAATGTTTAAATTTGCTTACAATAATATTTACTTCAAAATAACTCGCACAACTGTGACTAAATATCAAAACTGTTTTGTATAAAACTATACTATAATATTATAATTATTAACTAGATTCCGGTGTTTGTCATCCCGCCTACGGCGGAAAGACTGTGTGGGCGGTGGTGCATCTTTGTCGGCTATGCTGGGTTTTTTGATCCAGCCTGCGGGGGGAAGGGGGGGTCGTCGGGTATTATGTTTTGTCGTGTTGGCAGCACTTTTTAAGAGGTAATTTTTGAACTCGGAAGAGTGTCTAGTCGTAAGTCACGCGATTCAAGTCGATCGTAAGACACAGCCAGCCAGGTAGGCAATCCGGCTACGTCGGATCGCAGACCATGCCCCATTCGTGTATGCTGGTTCTTGAGTGTGTGTGTTGAAATCGGAAATTCGGATTCTGGGTTTGAGTGTCTAGATATCAGTCATCTCGGATAAAAGTCGATTCCCGAGTGTCGGATGCAGTGGGGGACACTGGGGGTGTAAGTCGCTCGTATGCAAGTAGCTAGTCAGGTAGGCAATCCGACTACGTCGGATCGCAGACCATGCACCGGGCGTGTATGTCCGGTTCTCGTATGTGTGTTGAAATCGAAAATTCGGATTCTGAGTTTGAGTATCTAGCTATCAGTCATCTCGGGTGAAAGTCGATTCCCGAGTGTCAGATGCAGTGGGGGTGTAAGTCGCTCGTATGCAAGTAGCTAGTCAGGTAGGCAATCCGACTACGTCGGATCGCAGACCATGCACCGGGCGTGTGTGTCCGGTTCTCGTATGTGTGTTGAAATCGAAAATTCGGATTCTGAGTTTGAGTATCTAGCTATCAGTCATCTCGGGTGAAATCCGATTCCCGAACGGACAATCCGCCTACAGCGAAAAGTGCTCGAAACGGCCGTTCAAATATGAAAAAGTATATACAGGAGGTAATAAAATTGTATTTGTTGATAATTATAGAGAACAGTTATCAGGTGTTTTATGTTAGGCTTCACTGTAATCAATGTAATCATTGTTATGTTTTCGCGGTTATAACAAATAAGTCGACAAAATCTAATTTTCTGATTGGATATTTTCTAAAATATACCTTCCATGTATATTTATTTAATTATGAGAATTAAGTCAAATTAACAAATAGATAATTATATTGGTGAATAACAAATTTTATTGAAATGTACTACTATCCTATTAAACGTAGGTATCTATAAATGAATACACTACACATACTCTCGTTTCCGACACACTACTCCACCCCGGGACTCGAATTTTCGAAAAAAACGGCAAATGAAGCAGTCATATTACAGTCGTACTATTTTTTAATATAGTATTTATAATCTGTAGCAGTATTTAACCAAATCGGAATCACGTAAAAACTGTAATATATCAAGTAGGTACTACACGTAGGTTAGTTATATTATAATGTATTATTAAAAGAAGCATGTAAGTGCGTCGGTAAATGTTAATTATAATAATTTTTTTGCCCAATAAATATCGTCAAACGAATAATAATAATATATATAATATAATAATGCAAATTAAAAAAAAAAATTAACACTTTCGTTAAAAATGATAAATGTGACGAAAAAAAAAACGCAAAAAAAAGAAATTCGATTTAACACGGCCCCGCCGGCGTTCGAAACCACGACCGTCGAATCACCCGTTTTAACGCCTAACCTACCTAGCCACCTACCGAGATGAAATTAGGAGCCAAATCTATGACTCTTAAGGGCGTTTGAGCGCGAGCGGACCACCATGTCCGCCACCTTCGGACGTTCAAGACGCGAGATTTGCGAAAAAAATCGAACCTCGAGGCGCATGTATAATATGCCTGTATATAGCGATACCTACACGGTACCTACTCTCGTTTCTGACACACTACTCCACCCCGGGACTCGAATTTTCGAAAAAAACGGCAAATATAGTCGTACTATTTTTTAATTTAGTATTTATAATCTGTAGCAGTATTTAACTAAATCGGAATCACGTAAAAACTGTAATATATCAAGTAGGTACTACACGTAGGTTAGTTATACGTTATTATAATGCGTTAATAAAAGAAACATGTAGGTGCGTCGGTAAAATCAAGTATTAATTAAATGTTAATTTTAATTATTTTTTTGCCCAATAAATATCGTCAAACGAATAATAATAATATATCTGTGGAATGATGGCAAAAGCTGATATGTCACTTTTGTCAATTTTTGGATTATCGTGTAAATAGTTTAGAAATTGTATATTTTAAGTGGTGGCAAAATATGGTATGTCTCTCATGTGTGTGGTGCCATCTATGTGCAAGGACCAAACCTGATAAGTCATTATATCAAAATATACGTGGCGGCAAAACTTGATATGTCTTTTGAATAGTTGATATGTCATTATTTGAAAATATACGAGGTGGCAAAACTTGATATGTCTTTTAAATAGTTCTTAAGTCATATTTTTGATAAAATACATCCTGGCAACTTGATAAATAATGTTCATATTATGTACCTTGGCTGTTTGGTCAGTTATGTTACCTACATGATTTTGTTAATATTACATATTATAAAGTTATTTTAGATTTTATTATATAATAATATAATATTAGATTTATATAGTAAAGTTATTAGTTACTATAGTTTGACGTTTAGTGTTTACTATTTTATTTTTTTTACTGGCTGTAGCTGTGTTACTTTACAATGTTCAACTCTAGATCATCTTTTTTAAAGATTTAAAAAAAAAGTAACCACAACCAACACTAATGCAAAAATTGAAAACCCTGTAGTAAGTACAGTATAAATCAAGCTATTTTATAGATTTTAATAATATTAATGTAAGTTAACATATAATAATATTATTGCAGAGGCATTCACTGAGAAAAAACAGTAAAGCCAGTATATTATTATAACAATGATCATCACAAAGTACATGAATGGCTCAGTTCAACACAAAATGAATCGCATCAGGTAAAATATAAAAATGGAAGCTGTTATTCTAATTATTTTTAACGAATTGCAATAACATTTGTTTTAGAACAATGTATTACCAATTACTACTAATTCTGACACTGATGAGATTGAATGATGCAAAAATAGAAAGAGCAAAAATATATTCAGATATTCCTATCATGATACCAAGAGATTGGTATCAATTGTTAGGACAGTAAAAGGAAAGAAACCATTTAAAGTTATAGAAATGAAACAAGAGCAGATTTTTTCATTTTCAAATTTGGTAAGCACTTCACTGACTAAGAAAACAGTAGATACTGATGGGCAAAAAGGAAATTGGTTCCATATAAGATGGATTCGTTATGAAAAAATGTATGATCAGTTGCAGTTTAAGTATAGTCTCAATCCAGAAGAACCATTTAGAGTCTTAGACCTCACACAAAGTGGTAAAAGAGGAAGACCAAAAAATATAACAACATATTCCACAGAATTAACCAATTGTTATACAAGTCCTTTACCCATCAATCCAAAAAAAAAACAAGATTTGTTGAGTCTATTACCTTTGATACATGAAGACTGCCATAGCTTCTACCAAAAATTAAAAACTTCTAATGATGCTGCTGAACTGTTATTAATCAGTGATTCTTCCTCAGATGAAGGATAAATTATTATATAATATTATATTTTAAATCCTCAAGTTGTTTTATTTTTCACTTTTATTGTATCTTATATTAATTGTTATACATTGTTATACTCAAAAGATAAATTGTATGTTTTTACTTTACTTTTTATAGTACCTATGTTGATTTATTCTAAAATGTTTACTATAATAAAAAAAAGGTTATTAATTGTCTTTTATAATTTTTATTTGTTGATATGTCGATAATTTAAAAAAATAAATGTTGGCAAAAAATGATATGTCTTTATTTGTGACTTAAGTACTTTTGAAATACTAATTTGTGTATTATGGCATAATATTTTAATTCATACAAGATTATTGATTATAATCATAAAATAATGAATGTATTTAATTCCAAATTGTAATTTTCATTGCAATCTAAACCTTTAAACTCGTTTTTCCGAAAGTGCATAAAATGTACATATCAGCTTTTGCCATCTTTCCACAGATATATAATATAATAATGCAAATTTAAAAAAAACATGTAGGTGCGTCAGTAAATGTTAATTATAATAATTTTTTTGCCCAATAAATATCGTCAAACGAATAATAATAATATATATAATAATATAATGCAAATTTAAAAAAAAATTAACACTTTCGTTAAAAATGATAAATGTGACGAAAAATAAAAACGCAAAAATAAGAAATTCGATTTAGTATGGCCGCCGCAAAGAACCGAAAATCCCGGAAGGCGGTTTCGAACCCACGACCCTCGAGTCACCTATCCTAACGCCTAACCAACCTAGCCACCTACTCACATGAAATTTCGAGGCAAATGTATGACTCTTAAGCCGCGTCGCCGTGCTCGCGGCGATAAAATAAAATTCTTATCACTTTCCTTATCAATAAAAAGAATATTTAAGAAAATCCCAATAAATCCTATCTAAAACTCAAAACCCCGAGTTTCCCCTTGGCGAGGTGGGTGTTAGTACTCTCCGGAACCAAAATCTATCAAAAAAGCAAAATCCAAAAAGGGGGGGAGGAGGTGCCCCCGTTCCCTAAAGCGGAAAACGGTAGTATTCATAAAAAGAATGGGTTCCCCCTTGGTCCGAGGTCTTTAACTTGAATTCCGGCCGAGTTATACTCAACTCAAAATGTGGGGGGGGGGTGGGGGCTTTGGTTCCCTAATGTTGAAAATTCATCTGGGGCCTAAAAAATTGAGATGCCCATTGGTACGGGGTCTCTAAGTCGAATACCGGCCAAGTTATACTTCGTCAAAAATAATTACTCGTTTAATGGGTCCCCCCACTCCGCCCGACGGTCGCGGGGTAATCGATTTATAAGACGTTATTATCACGTCAAAAAATTGAAAAACACGGGTTTTTTTTTAATAATAATAATAATGTTCGAAAATATTCGTCGATAAGGAAATCGATAAGGGAAAGGGAGATAAGCGAGCGGAATTTATAGCGAACGCGCGGGAAGTATTGTGATTGGTCGTCATGGAAGAAACGCGGAGTGCCGTGAGCGCTCCCCGCGGATCTTATACGCGTTATTAGCGTTTTATTATATAAGACTAGCTCTAAGTGAAACTCGGGGCCCGTGGAACTCGCTGAGAGTGGGTACCGATTTTGGAGACAACGTCGTTGGAATTATAAAAGTCTCAAAGGTTGTAAGACGAAAGTTTAGGATTTGTGATAAGGAGTAGTGATAAGGATTGGAGATAAGGCTTGGCGCTTTGGCGGGAATGTTTAAAAGTTTGAGCGTCTAGCAATCCATCACGAACATTGTAAATGGATACGATCTCCAGGATCTCTATGCGTTTGTCAGCTGCTTTTGGTTGTTGAAATTGTTAAAAAGTGTAGAGTCGATATGTGTATTTGATTGTCTAGCTATCAGTCATAAAATCACATCGGTAAGCAATATGCGAAGCGTATATTATCAGGTATGCACTCCACCTGCGGTGGATTGCGGACCCCGTTAGTTGCGCAGATAAGTGAATAATCAAAAATATAGATTCTAGTTGGCCCATGAGACTCGCTGAATTTGGGGGTACCGATTTTTGAATAAGAGTCGCTTCAATCATAAAAGTAGCGACAGTCGTAAGATGGAATTTTAGGATTTGTGATATGAATTAGTGATATGGATTGAAGATAAGGCTTGGCGCTTTGGCGGGAATGTTTAAAAGTTTGAGTGTCTAGCAATCCGTCACGAACATTGTAAGTAGATACGATCTCCAGGATCTCTATACGTTTGTCAGCTGCTTTTGGTTGTTGAAATCGTCAAAAAGTGTAGAGTCGATATGTGTATTTGATTGTCTAGCTATCAGTTATAAAATCACATCGGTAAGCAATATGCGAAGCGTATATTATCAGGTATGCACTCCACCTGCGGTGGATTGCGGACCCCGTTAGTTGCGCAGATAAGTGAATAATCAAAAATATAGATTCTAGTTGGCCTATGAGACTCGCTGAATTTGGGGGTACCGATTTTTGAATAAGAGTCGCTTCAATCATAAAAGTAGCGACAGTCGTAAGATGGAAGTTTAGGATTTGTGATAAGATAATTAGTGATATGGATTGGAGATAAGGCTTGGCGGTTTGGCGGGAATGTTTAAAAGTTTGAGCGTCTAGCAATCCGTCACAAACATTGTAAGTAGATACGATCTCCAGGATCTCTAGGCGTTTGTCAGCTGCTTTTGGTTGTTGAAATCGTTAAAAAGTGTAGAGTCGATATGTGTATTTGATTGTCTAGCTATCAGTCATCAAATCACATAGGTAAGCAATATGCGAAGCGTATATCATCAGGTATGCACTCCACCTACGGTGGATTGCGGACCCCGTTAGTTGCGTAGATAAGTGAATAATCAAAAATATAGATTCTATTTGACCTATATGAGACTCGCTGAATGTGGGTCATCGATTTTGGAAGTATTGTTCGTGTCTGTTGTAAATCGAATGTTGAATAATTGTTCTAATGGATAGGGTTTATGATAACGCGTTTAGTGATATGAATTTAAGATTGAGATAATGCTTGGCGCATTGGCGGGAATGTTTAAAAGTTTGAGTGTCTAGCTATCAGTCATCAACGGTGTAAGTACGCATAATATTTTACATCTCTTTTTGTGGCTTTTGGGTCTGTCCAAAAGTTTGAAGTAAAAAAAAACCATTTACCTAATCGATTGTCTAGACTATCAGTGCACTTTGTTCAACGTGTAATTATGATCCATATTGCACCAGCCTTTTTTGTAAGTAAAAAAGTGTACGTCGATAATTCGATTATTAAGTTGATATTTATGAAGTTCATTAATTTACAAAAAATAGTAAATCCCAAAGTATATATTTATATAAATGTGTGTTTATTGTATGATAAATAATAAAAACATATTATAAACACGATTAGGTGTACTAATAAATTACACTGTCTTAATGTACCTAATTAATTCCAAGAAAATAAATATACGATCATTGTTATGATCAGATCAAGGCTATTTAGTGCATGTAATTAACAAAATTAATCATAGGGATGTCAATATTAAAATCCATTTGAATATGGTACATTGCCATTTTTGTTGTTTTGTTAAAAAATATAATATGTTTAGTATACATACCTATCTATTACATCGTTTTTAATAAAAGTATAATTTAACTTAACCTAACTTGCAGTATGTCATTGATACTATTAAAATTATTTATTTACTTGACGAAAAATCAAGCACACTCACACAGTACTACGAGGAACTGAGGACCAACATTCACAAAACCTTTCCAAATGTACTGCAGGACCAATCATTTATTTACCACAAATAATTTGAACGATTTTAACTTGAAAATGAAACATTTTAAATTTTAAACTCTTCACGTAATATAGTTTTAGAAGCACTTCTTAATGGTGTATTTAAAGCTAAAATCTGTGGTCAATATTTCTAAGTTCCAGGTTTAGAATAAATAATATTGATAATAATAACATGTATGAATTATTTATTAACAAATCTAAATTAGGTATCCATTGCTTACTTTTAATATAGGACGCTTTATGTAAAAGAACAATATTTAATTTACAACATACCTATCAATATTATACATTTTCATTTTTAATATTTGTTACAATTAAAACTTAATAATATGTACCTAGGTACGGAATAAATACAATGAAACAAAAATGTAATTATGTACTGAAAATTGTAATATAATGATTATAACACGACAAAGAAATATTTATCATGGATTATCACTTACGGATTGAATGTAGATACCTATAATACTAAAATAACTACATTCTACATTCTACATTTTAAAAATTTCCAGAACAATAAGGACCTGGTTGTCTGTTTGACATCTTGAACTATAAAAATAATTTAGACAAAAAACACAGTTTATAATAAAAAAAAAAAAACGAACCAAATAGAATATAAATTTCCTTTTAAATTATTTTAATATAATATGTAAAACATAATATTCAATCTGTCTTGGGCTACAATCAATAGGATAATATTTTTGTTTTAATTATTTAATTATGTTGTACTTTTGTAGTATCAAGTTTATCAAGTAAATTAATAGTTGTATACTTGTACCCATTTAAAAAGCAAACACAAATGACAAATTATATTCCATTTTGTGTTCTGTTTCATTTATCTAGTGGCCATGGTGATATTTATAAAAAAGTTCAGTTTATAAAAAGACATTAATTGTTAAATACAAAGACTTTTATAAGCCTGGGTACAAACATGTAATTTAATAAATAATCTGAAAACAATTAAATCATTAGTACCTAAGTAACATTTTATGTAGTACATAATTTTATGCAGTACCTACCTATTTGGAAAAATATAGGTATAGTTGTTAATTTAAAATCACATAACAATGAATTACAATTAATAGTGCGATTTTTAAGATTAAGGTTTTAAACGACTATCTACATAATATTATATTATATGCAAGAAAATGAGGTAATTTACCATACTTTATTATGTCACTAATTGGAGAGTACATTAATCTATTTATGATAGACTAAGGCATGTACACTCCCGCTGACACTAAATT